TTAATGCTTAATTATTAAATATTATTATTACCTTTTAAGTTTTTTAAATATCTTACCAATTTCTGATAATGGCTTTTCAAAACTTTTCGATGACATATTTGAATATTGTTGATTAGAATAATTTATTTAGAGAAATTATATTTTTTAAAATTAAAGATAGTTCTATATTGGTTATATTGGTTATCAATTATCAATTATTATATATTAAGATTTATTGTGTGATTTATATAAATATGTAATGGTAAAATTAAACAAATGAATATATCCATCGATTCCCGCAAAATTACACAAATTCATTTTTTTGAATTCATTCTTTACCATACATTTTTTTTTGTTTACCCAAAATGTTGTGCATAATAGTTACCAAAATTGAAGTGTCACAGATTTTTTTTTTATATGTGATAAAAATAGTAAACAGGGAAATGATTTGCCCACCGCGAGTATTGCCAATAATGGCATGCCGAAAATGGGCAAAGTGTAAATGACCAGTAGGATTGGTTGAAACGTACTATATATTTATATTAAACATTTTTCTTTTCTCCGTGGAGATTTTGCTAACGTTTCGGTAAGAAATTTCTGTTTTATATCAGTATCTTGTCTAACAAGTATGAATATTAGTTAGCAAATAACGTTTTTATTTAATAATAATAATAATAATAATAATAATCTCCATTTGTCCATCACAACAAGAACAGATAATGGAATTTCTGAATTCATCATATTTCCTAGCTCGACATGATTTTTCAGGTTCAGATAAATTTCTACGTCTACTGGATGAGAAACTGTTCTTGGCCATTCACCAGTTATTCTTGTAACAATTTCATGGTAAGGCTTCTGTGTCTTAAACAAAGATTGTGCAGTGCCTCTCTATAAAAAAATTTGTCAAAAAATGTATGGCTTTCCTTACATTTTCCGCGCTTTCCCGTTCATATTTGCACTGAAAATGTATGGAAAATACATGGAAAATACATGAATTTTCGGAAAATGACCTAAAATTCAGTGCACTTTCCTGTGCACTTTCCTTGCATTTTCTGTGCATAGCAATTACGGAAAATGCATGGAATGTAATTTTTTCAGGTCATTTATAGGACAAATATGCATGGAAAAGCGCTCTTTTCGTGTATATTTCTGTACATATTCCATACAAACTGCACGGAAAAACCATACATTTTCTGACAAAATTTTTTATAGGGCCTCATCAGGAAATTTTTCTGACGCAAATTTACGTAATTATTACACTATTTACGTAAGTTTACGGCGGGCCCGTAATATTATGCAAATAAGCATACAAAAATTATGCAATTATTACATCAAGTGTAAATATTACATAATTTTTATTGCAAATATTACAACTTTACATATTAAAATTTATGGACATAATATTGCGGCGGGGAAAATTTCATGATGCTAGTACTATGAAATTCAAGCAGTGTTGGAATGTGCTCAAGGAAATAATGCAGATATTCTTTCTGTTGAGCAACTGAGGTGACAGATGAAGTTGGAAGAGCTGTTGAAATGTTCCAAGATACAGTTAGACTTAATTAAGATAAATATCAGTTTATCTTGTATCAATTTGACTAATCTCTTATTATTATTTTCACTGTATGATTTCTTTATCAATTTTCTTCTATCCACATCATACGAAAGCAACAAATAAGGTTTTTCTTCCTGAACCCAGCCCAGCACACCCATCTTGATCAAAATCATAGTCATTCACATCATTCCACTGGATTGTTGGCTTTGTCACAAGAATGGAAACACTCACAGCATCTGTCACGATGCTAAGGCCAAATATTTGCCTCCTTGTATCATCACTAGGTTATGTAATCACTTTTGAAAAAAGAATCGAGTTTTACAAGTGAAGAAAATATTGTAGATTAAAATAAGTATTCACCCTATCAATATTAAATGTTAGTCTCCACCAGCTTAAGATATCATTTCCAAATTCTGTCATTGTTAGTCCATGCTTTTTCCCAAGCCAGCAAAATCAATTGAATGAACCAAATCAAAAAGAGCATTGGTTTGGATTGGAATGCATCTGCTTTTGAAACCGGTGATGGGTGCAAGGTCAAATAAGCTGAAGGCCTTCTTATTTGTTCTCTTGCTTGAACATCTCTCCTAAAAAGGTAAGGTTTCTTCTACTCTACATGATGTGATTAAAACTTTTCTCCGACCTCACCACAATAACCCAAGTCTAGTGGGGAAACTATTACTTTGATTAATCACAACTTCTTGGCCTTAGACAATTATTGTGATTTCAAATCAAGTAAAGTTTTACCATCATCCAGGCGCAAGTGTATTTAAACATAACAGTAAGGGAATATAAAAGAAAATAAATGTAAATGTATCCATTATCATTCCAAGGCTTGTTCTAGTGCCACATACATGATTGATAAGTGACGATGATGGCATTAAAAATATTGAATACGATGGTAAAGTCTATGAAGAAGAAAAGGATGACAATGAAGAAGAAGATGAAATAACTCAACCAATTCAACTAATTCATAATCATAATAATAACAATAATAATAAATATTATAGATCTAAAAAATCAAATGAAAATTTGATAGTGTCAAACAATAATAATAATAATAATACGATATTAATAGAGAAAAAACATGATAATAATAAAATATCATATGATGATTGTGAAAATTGTTCTAATAATTTTAATTCATGGAATTGGTGCCAACCTTGTAATTCAAAGCGTTTTGAAAAATTATTTTCCAATTGGACATCCAACTCATTCATAATAGATAAATTTATACAAAAAACACAACTATCTTCAAAAGGACATTTTAACAAATTAGAATGGATACCATTCGAACGATTTAAAGATATTAATTTAATAAATAACGAAAGTTTCTTGAGTACTGTATATGAAGCTATTTGGATTGATGGTGATATATTGAATTGGAACCACGAAAAAGGTGAATGGATGAGATTCGGTCAGAAAAAAGTCGTTTTAAAAACATTGGAAAAAATTACGATAGATGAAGGATTGTTTGATGAGGTAAAAATGCATAATAAATAATATTATAGTGAACGACTATATACACTTATATACTTACATACACACATACATATAATACTTCATATTAATATTATTTATTAATTAATTGATTTATAGATAGAAAAATGTTTGGCAAGATTGGAATTTGACGAATGTACAAATTTAAATCTTTATTTTGGGTTTACACAAAATCCGAAAACAAAAATATATATGATAGTAATGGATTATGCACCTGATGGAAATTTACATCAATTTATTAAGTCATCAAGCTATTATAAGAATATAAGTTGGTTTGACAAAATAAGCTTGTTGTATAATATTTCATTTGGATTAAAGGAATTACATGATATTAATATAGTTCATGGTAATTTACATCCTGGAAATATATTACAACATTATATGGTACCAAAAATTAGTGATTATGGTTTATTTAAAAATGTTTCTAGGCAAATTTTAAATAATTTTTTGGAAACTTATCATGGATTTATTCAAAATGTAGACGAAATAAAAGATGATGGTGTGAAATCAAAAAAAACTTATAATAATCATGATAGTAGTAGTAGTGATACTAATATGAACAGCTCTAATAGGAAAGAACTTAGTGTTTTTGGTAATTTAGCATATATAGCACCAGAAATATTATCAGGAAAACAACAAAAACTTACAAGATCAAGTGATATTTATAGTTTTGGTATTATTATGTCAGAGATTTTATTTGGTAGACCTCCCTACTACAATAGATCTTTTGATAAAGATTTAATCTATTCTATATTGATAAGTAATAATAGACCAATAGAAGAAGAAGAAGAAGATTATGATGATATATTAGAAGGTGGTAGTGGTAAAGGTGGAAGAACTCCAAAATCTTTATTAGATTTAATGAAACGTTGTTGGGATAAAAATCCTGATAATAGACCAAGCGCTTTTGATCTGTGTAGAGAATTTTCGAAATTTGAATGGTGGACTATAGATCAAAGAATTAAAAAATACAATCATGATGACGGTGATGGTGATGAAAATATTTACAATATTAAAAATAATATCAGCGACAACAGCAATAGAAATATTTTGTTAAAAAAATCTTATGATAAAAAGATTCATTATGAAATTCATCCTAAGGCTTGCTATTACAGCAAATTATATATATACAACAATATTTTAGATTTTATTAACAACAATGATTTAAGTAACAAAAAAGATGAATATTACAATCGTGTCATTTCAAATTTTAATCATTCCTACAAAGGTATTTTT